TGATCATATTTACCCTCCTTTGCTCCCTATTGCACCCTTCCCACTCCCACTGTTCACCTTCCTTTTCCTACTAGTTCCGCTGTGACTTTCATGTCTTGTTTTTTTTTTTGTTGTTGTTGTTGTTGTTTTATTTGTAACACAAACAGTTCATTAGGTTTGCCTATAGATGGGTGAAAGGTAACTTACAGAAGCATGAACATCTTACCAGTGGCTACACCACAACAGAAAATGCCTCTCTTCACCAGCAGCCATTAATTGCCTATAGATCTTCAGGGGTGGGTGGAGCCTCAGATGGCCCTCCCTGCTCCACGACTGGATGTTGAGAGGCTCCATCTTGTGCAGGTAATCCTAGCAGCTGTGAGCTGAAGAGTAAAAGGTCGTGCCATGAGCAGAAGGTAGCATTCTACGGTGTTCTACCCAATCCTTCTGCCCTGGTGTTCCTGTCTTCTGAGCCTGGGAGAGGGCGATAAAGGTGTCTCACGGATGGCTGAGCATCTTCAACAGTCACATCGTCTCAGCACTCTGGCCAGTGCGCTGTTTAAAGAAGTGTCTCTGACCAAGGCCGCCAACAGCACTCATCTATGGGGATAGACACAATTGTGCAGAAGGCAATTTGACAGGCACAGCATGTCCATTTAGCAAAATAACAGCAGCACTTTCCCAACTAAGGCCTACGTCCTCCTAGGCCCGGGCTCCTTATGAGGTTTATAGTGCCAGATTAAATTCCCTCCTGTCTGTGGGGCCTGAATCCCAATCAGAAAGTGGGTGGTTACCCCTGTAACAGACTTGCTACTATGCACCGGTGGGGACCTCTTGCCTGGTAGGTTAGTAGTGAAGAATCAGCAAGGTATTTCTCAGCTCCACCGTGATGTCCTAGGTCCTTTTCCTACCACTGTCCTCCACTGTTATTTCAGGGTGACCCAGTCTCTGGGGAATCAGTCACAAGCGGTTTTGAATGGAGCTTTGCTTTCACAGGGGTCTCTTCCACAGGCCCCAGAGACTACCTGTCACCCTCACAGCTGTGTGGGCCTCTGTTACTACCAGGGAGGCAGAACAGAGAGGATAAGATGTCAGCACCCCACCACCGTATACTTCCAGCTCCCTTCCCCCACTATGAACTGCCTTATCCTATTAACTCCCCCTGGGACCCCGGACTTGGGAACCAGATTCATCTCTGAGACGCTGCCCTCCCACCCACCCAAACCCTGCCTCATTTTTTTTTTTAAAGGAAAGGCTTGCTTTTGTATCTTCCTGAAATTAAGAGAAAACTCTGACAATAAAAATGTTTCTCTTCGCAGAGCTGTGAGCATTCTATTCATTCTGGAATTAGTTAATTCTCATGACCTTTTAACAAGACAGCACTTGGCACTCTCAGATAAGATAATTGACTCTAATGGGGGAAGAAGTGCTGCTCATTTAACGGCGAACATCTGAGTTGTGTGTAGTTCAAGGAAGTTCTCCATTACCTTTGGAGTTGCCAATATATAGATTGAAACAGTGGGGAGGTAAGTAGGGATGTGAGCTAATTCCACCTAGGATAGCAGTTTCCCTCCTTGCGGGCAAGCTGTCCCCTTATTGTCACCATTACTCAGAAGTGGAAAGCAGGGCGAAGCACCTGGCACAGTACGCCTGGCTAAAAAGGTGCTCAGTCGGTGGGAGCTGCTGATGCCACCATCACTGTTATTATCGACAGCACCAACCCAATGCCCGGGGAACCACGGGAATTCTGTACACTTGACAAAGTTCCTTGCCACATGGTATCACACTGATGATATGGTGCACTAAATCATTGTACCCTTACAACATGGTACTCCACTGACATACCCCTCTGACATGGTATCTCCCTTACATGCTACACCATTGACATGAAACCTCTCTGACATGGTACACTACTGTGCAGTACCCCACTGACATGGTATACACCTCAGATTCAGTGCCCCTCTGATATGGTATTCCTCTGACATGGTATACTACGAGCATAGTACCCACTGGCATGGTATACACCTCTGACACAGTGCTCCACTGTTCCAGTACTAAAAACACTACGAAATGCATTTCCCCATTTCTCAGATAATACTACTGCAGCAAGGAAGCATCAATTAGTGTTCAGAACCAGTTTGCTTACTCTGGTCCCACATCATAGAAGCCAAAGCCAAAGATCACTCTCCCTGTTGTCACCAAAATGCAACCTCCTGGCTGAATCAAGCATGTGCCTGTCCCCTACATGATTTGAATATGGACCCGGAGTCACAAGAATGTGTTGTGTGTAAGTTCCTCTACAGTGTTTTGTGACTTGAAGGCTGTTGTAGGTCCTCAGATCCACCATCCGTGAACTTAGCTAAAACATGAGGATCTGTTTCTCAGCATCCTGTGGAAGAGTCCTGTGCTTCAGCCTGCAGACGAAAAGCCCCATTAGGCTGTCTGATGTCCAAGAAGGGGTGTCTTCATATGGCCACCTTGTGAAATAGAGCTGATAAGAGGCAGTGGCTAAGTGGGTGGAGCCTGGGCTCCATAGAAAGACTCGTGGTGTGAGTTTTCAGGTCTGGGCAGATGTGGGTTCTAGACCAGACTCTGCTTCTTCTTGTCCATTTAACCCTGTATTTGCCAGTTGCTCCCTTACCTTCACTTGGTCATTTATAACATGGCTATAAATATTAACCTTTTAGGTTTGGCATGAAAGCTAAAGTATGCATTGCTCTGATTAGTTTTAACACAGTGTCTGGTACAGAGTAAAACATCTCAGTCATTGTCTTATAGATATCATGGTTTCAACTAACTTTCTGATTTTTTTTAGATTAATTTCTATTAAAACCTAATATTTGTTTATCCTTTCAAAGTTGGATCTAGTGGGGTTGCCATGAGAATTAATACACATAATGTGTATAAGTTACCAGACACACACAGTATGTAATAAGTATAATTCCCTGGACCTTCCTGTCTCTGTAGATCCTCCCTGCATTTCTATGGTCCTTCTTCTCAGTCACCCCCTCCTCTGGGCCTTGATCTTCTGAGTGGACTTCCTAATCCATCTGTCTTCCCTGTTTTACTGTGGGCCTTGGCTGTCTGAGTCAATACTAACTCTCTAGAGCCTGCCACAGAGGACCTTTAAAAATAGCTTCATCAATGAGATGAAGGGCTACTACATATACCATGGTGTGGGATCCACGAAGGTGAGGGCTTGCTATATATGTGAAAGGCAGAGTAAGCATCCTGAAAGTGCTGAGTGCAGACCACTATCAAGGTTCAAGTTTTCTTTCATTTTGTGGGATGTTTTTTGTCTTGGTTGTGTGTGTGTGTGTGTGTGTGTGTGTGTGTGTGTGTGTGTGTGTGTGTGTGTGTGTGTCTGTGTGTCTGTGTGTCTGTGTCTGTGTGTATGTAGTAATGTGTGAGTGTGGGTACATGCATGCCACAACACTCAAGCGGACATCAGAACACAATTTTTAGGGGTTTGTTCTCTCCTTCCACTTTGTTGAGGCAGAATTTCTTTTGTTGTCTTTGCCACTATGCATGCTCCAGTAACCAGCTTTTGGCAACTTCCAAGGATTGAACTCATGTCATGCTTTTTACCAGTGGCATCTCTTCTCGGCCTTTACTTTTTGGTTTTGTGAAAGGGTCTCACCAGATGGAGCAGACTGGCTCCCCATCTCTATAGATCTTCCCCTCACAGTCTGCATCCTCAGCCTCCCCACTGCTGGGGTTACAGGTGGGCACCGCCATGCCCATGTCAACAGCTCCGTCTGGATTCCCAGAGTGAAGCTGCCACACACTAGATTACAAGTCTTTTGGGAACCAGCTTCCACAGCCTTCTCAAGCATTGGCTATTTCAGTGTGCATTCCTGGGTATCTTAGCGCCTCTTCTAGATTGTTGCAGCAGACTATTTGGTAGCTTGCTACTTGGGAAAAATATTTTCTAAATCAGGAAAACATGCCCATGGTACAAAATGAAGATGTGCAGAACATCTCCCCCCACCCCCACCATTCCCTACAGTATCCTATTCCCTCACAGGGATCACCTGGTGTTACAATAGTCTTTCATATCCTTCTAGATACTCAATACAATTTAGAGCCAAAAGCAGTGTGTCAAACACATTCTTCTGCAGGTAATGGTTTTTCTTCTGGAAAAAAATAAAACACATAAAAAGCTTTCTCAGTCTGTTTGTGATCTCTGCTATTATGTTGTGTGGATAGACCCTACCTAACCTCTTATCAATGGACCAGTTTACAAAATTTTGCTATTAAAATTATGCTGTAATGAGTAACCTTGTATGTACATAGTTTATTAGATGTGTGAGTATATCCAGAGGAGAAGTTTCTAGAATTGGGACCTTGAACTCCCAGGGTAAAGGGTGAATGTATTTTAAATTTTATGGCTTTTATCACAAACAATTCATGCTTGCCCCAGCAAAGTGTGCGGGTGCTTGCTTCCACCCTCTGCCTACACAGTATTTCCGGTCCTTTTTGTCTTCGCCAAAGCATATGTGAAAAATAATATTTCAGAGTTTAACTTAGATTTATTTCGCAGTGAGCGATGTTAGGAGCCTTTTCACGCGATTGAGAGTCCTGGGTATTTCCTCTTCTGTCACCTTCTGTCCATATCCTATGCCCATTTTTCTACTGCATTGTTAAATTTTACTTATTGGTTGGTGTTATTTTTCTATTAGGGAAATAATCCTTTGTGATACAAAGTACAGTTCTCCCTCTAGATTGTCATTTCTCTTTTGAAGGAAAAGGTCAAGACCTCCTGAAACTCTGACTTCTCTCATCCATTCCCAACATCACCAGACTGTGAGCCCCTCGAGGGCGGGGTCTCAACCTTGATCATCACTGTGCCCCAAGTCCCCTTGCAGGGCCTGACACCTTAAGAAATCTCTCTCCGGGGGCCGTTGTTGAAGTGAACTTTGGGTCTGTGTTCCCCACCCCAGACCCCCTTTCCTTGTGGCTTGGGAGTTCCATTTCCACCTCCAGCAGAAAAGGATGACTTTTTTCATTGCTCACCACAGCCATGCACCTGTTTGGCCTAAACTGGCACCTGCAGCCGATGGAGGGGCAGATGTATGAGATCACGGAGGACACAGCCAGCAGTTGGCCTGTGCCAACGGACGTCTCCCTGTATCCCTCGGGGGGCACTGGCTTAGAGAACCCTGACAGGAAAGGCAAAGGAGCCACGGAAGGTAGGGTTGCTGCGTCGTCCATGTTGTGAGTCCTCTGTGTCTGCCTTTGAATGGAGAAGGCCTCCATCCTGTACCTCACGTGCCTGACTCCAGCTCATGCTTCCTCCATCCTGTACACTCCATGCTGGCTGTGGTCTACCTGTGTCTTCACCGCAATTCCCTGTCAGTGTGAGCTCAGAGCGGGGTTCAGAAGGACCCAGGGTGCTCTGCAGTATCCCATTCCATGCTTCCAAGGATGCATTAGGGGCATTCACATTGCCAGCTATCCATCTTTGTGTGGGGTCGGGGGAGCACTTCTGGGTAAGCCCTATGCAATCAAGAGCCATGTGTGGGACATGGTAGGGACAGCGTGTTCCAGTGAAAAGACTTTTGGATCATGTGCTTCAATGGAAAGGTTCCAGGCGATCAACCCACCCCAGCAACCCGGCACAAGTCACTAGTAAATCTGACCCAGCTTCCTCTTCTGCAGTAGTAACAATAATTAATGTTTACTCACTGTGTTATCAAAAACTTCTTACTAAGGTCATTTCATTGCACACTTAAACCTCACAGAAACCCAGTGAAGTAGGTATAGTTATGTCCATTCTAGGTGCAAACACAAATGATCACATGAAGTGACATAGCCCACAGAATGTCAGAATTAAGTATATGAACTCAGATCTGGGACCTGAGGTCTCTCACTCCCTCCATGAGTTTTCCCACCTGACCCACCACCATAGTTACAGGACCTCAAAGATGACATGGATGTGAAATCCTGTTGTGCAGTAAGGCAAAGATATTTCTACCCATGACAGAGGTGGTGGTGACATTTTGGGTCTGGCATTCTTGAGTGTGAGTCCACAGACCCAGGTTTTGTGTTCCTCAAGGGTCTTTATAACAATTCATAGATATGACTTCCTTCACTGTCAACCAAGAGTGGCTCAGGCTCACGGAACAGTGGCCTTGCCTTCTGCTGCATCTATTGTGCTCTGCACCACTGCTCTGCTGTTCCCCAGGCAGCAGGGCAGCCATGTCTCCCACTTTTACAGCTCACACCAAGCTTCCTCTTGCCTCCCCTAATTCTGGGGCCATATCTTTTGGGTCTCTGTGTCCTTTCAAAGATTTGCCTTTGGCGAAAAGGGTAACTTGTGCTTACTCAAAGTACCTCCTCATGACCTCTGCAATGATGATCCTGAAGTTCAAAGTCAGCTACTGACCTGTGGACACATTTAAGGGACATGAAAAGAGGAGCCTTCTGAAAGAATCAAGCCTAAATACTTACCCACTATTTGGAAAAAAAAAGGCCAGGCCTCTTTGTCTTTTTAAAAATTTTAAGACGTAAACCATTAAATAATGTATGTGCCCCTTTGCCCAGTGACAGGGTAGGGAAGAAGGTAGCATGTATGAGGCCACTAGAGGAGTCGGTGTGATGTAAGGAGACACTGCGGTGTAAGCTTAAGCACGTCCCCTGAGCTAGGCATTCCAGGTTTCACTTGTCTCCTCTTCAAACAGCACTGAGCTCAGTGCTCAGAGCACAGGCTCTCTACAGAGTGCATTGGAACTTACATAATCTACAGGTGAAATTTCTAAAAGAATCATCATAGGACTAAGTGAAGTTCTTGGGGGATCTTTCCAACCAAGGTGGTACTGTCCATGGTCCTGTCGGTGGCTTTCAATGCTCACACCAGTTTATACTGTCTATTGCCACTAGTGAAGACTCATATAGGGACAACTGTCTTTAGATAAGCCCTTGAAAACACACTTAAAATGTCTTTACCTATCATGGAATTGGCAAAGGGTCTCCTGTAACACAATGTAGTTTCTTCCCACTGTGATCCCTAACAGACATTCCTTCAGCGGGAATTAAGTCTATCTGAAATCTTCCACTCTAATGAAATTAGTTTGTGGGTTGTTTGGGTTCTCTTTAGTTTTTCCGGAAAGGCAGGAGGTGTAGATAAGAGACAACATAAAATTGCACTGCCTTATTGGCTTATTTTAATTGAAGTATTTTTGCTTAAAGGGATTATCTGTCATTACTGATGCAAATGGAAATCCTGTTTATAAACCCCTTAAATGCAGGGCAGTACTGGAAAACAGTCAGCAGCAAGAGCAATTACTGTGAGAAAAAAAAAATGCATGTGCCTGAAAAGCAGAGGGAAAGTTTCCTGTAGTCTATGGGAGACCACGTGGTTCTTCCCCACCCCACCCCAGTCAAACCAATATCTACTCAGTTTCTGTTTTTAATTGTGATGATAAACCTCTGCTTCCTTAGACTGTATCTCAATAGTGAAAATGTTAACTGTACTGTGAGGGCACATTTCTGGTCCCTTCTGATGGTATCAGGGAAAAGCATCAATTACAGAATTAAGATTAGCGTCTCTGCGCCATGATGGTGGGAGTAGCAGTATGAGGTGATTAAAAAAGGGTGAGTGTGCCTTGGAGCCACACAGCCCCAGATGTGGTTCTCAACCCAGCCTTTCTTTTGTTCTGTTAACTTACACTGGTTTCCTCATCTGTTTGGCCTTAGTTTTCTTGCCCATAGAACAAGGATGAGGATGGTTCTTCTCAGAGCCCAGCAGAGGGCAGCTACTCATCTAGAGTGGTCCTCAGTTCAGCTGGTGTCCCTCATCTTGTCCACCTAGTCTGGGGCCATTCCGCTTCAGACACTAAGGTTTGGGATAGTTTTTTAAATATTTTTAAAGTACATCTTTTTAATTATATAAATTAAATACATGATAATCCCAGGACTGTGTTTGTCATGTCTGTGAGAATAACATCAAAGTATAATTTATACTGTATTTTCAAAGTGGCTGTAACCATTTTAGGGTCATCATGGGACACAAACCAAATGTAGCAGCTTCCTGAAGCAACCCTGCAAGACCTTGTGTTTGCATTAATGGGGAAGGGAGACATCACTGAATAAACAAGCATTTCTGACACTTGACTTGGTGGGCTAGGAATCATGCTTTCTCTTTGCAATGGAATCAAAATTGCCTATCAGTTTGAACCATGCAAATTGCTGCACATGGGCTCAGCTGGGCTCTCCAAAACAGAACAGCTTATTTTGATAACCAAAAAAATTGTCAAACTGTTGCTAAGGAAACTAAGGGATTCTTTGTGCAATCTATTGCATTGAGAAGAATAAAAAAAGGTAGAGGAATTGTTAGTGGATTAGAAGTTTAGAACCTGGATAGATGGGTCTCTGGTCAGGAAAGTAGAGACTGTGATTGGGAAGCATGGAAATTCCAGTTCTTCCAAATAATCCACATTTGATGGACCTACTCGATCATTTCATCAATTGGTTGAGAGATTTCTTTTACAGTGTGATTGCATATTTGCACAGCATTGCTGTAGGAAGCCTGAATCTTTCTAAATTTAAGAAGAAAAAGATGGTTATCAACAGAATCTATGCTGTGAAACTGACTCATGCTGTTGGGAGGAGTAAGGTCTAAGCTAAACATCACATGCTATTTGTTAGGCCTAGAGATACCTCATAGTGAGTGGTACAGCGTGCTTCTCAAGACTGGCTGCTCTGAGGCTTGTTTACAGCTCCTTAATTAATAAAAATGATCAACTTTCAAACCCTGGCATACCACAAAGTTCTTAACTGGACTTAGGACCTGGCTAAGTCTTGACATTTACCCCATGAGCCCCATGAGTTGCTGCTCTTGAGGGGGTCAGTGCACCCCATCACCACTGAGGGTGTCTCTTCAGATATTTAACTCATCACTCATTTATTTAGTCTGCAGAGAAGCCATATTCTAAGAGGTAAAGAGGTTTCTCAAGTGACTTCATCTCCAACTGGCTTCTTAAGCATTCAGAGCCTCAGTGTAGAGATGTTCTTAGTATCATGAGAATCAACAGAACTAATGAAAATGAAGGCACTCGACACAGCTGGAACTCATTAACCTCTGCCTGCACTACTATTTCTTCTAGTAATATCTGTTATCTTCTAGAATATACATGAAGAGATGAGTTTGATACTCAGAATGTTCCCCCTCTACCAGTCTCTAGCCTCGTTCCCTACTCTTCACCGCTTTGAGTGGGGCATTTTATATTCGAGTCCTCATGCTTTGTGCTCAGAATTAAAGTCAAGAAATCTTATGATCTGGACAAACAAAAAGGCAGGATGGGTTTTTCTTTAGTCAAGAAGGAAGGGTTTTTGTTTGTTTGCTTTTGCTCTTCCAGCCCCAGCCCAGCCCTGGCAATCTCAGGCATCTTTCCCACAAACCAAAGGTGGTAGGAGCTGTTCACTCTTTCCTCTCAACCAGCAATCTACACCAACAGTTGGTCCAGTATGGAGACAGACAGTTCCCCTCCCACCTGGCCCACATTCCTGAACCACTAGAAAGTTCAGTGAAAGAAAAAATCCCCTCCTGTCACTTTACTGGGGCAAGAGCCACATAGCCCTGCCTAAGCCTCCTGCCTGAGGTTTGAAGGGTATGGCTGGACCCATTCTGACCCATGAGGTCACCTACATTACTGTCTCCTCTTTGCTGTGGAGAAGGGAGCCCTGTTGGCTAAAACAAGGGAACAGTTTTCCATTATTTATTCTGAGACACTAGAACGTCAGAGTACAGACCGTTCCTAGCCCTTGGGCTCTGACTCCTTCTTATATTCAGAGGAAACCGGCCCTCAAATTATCAGTCTGTGCTTCTCTCTCAGCCCTTCCTAGGAGTGAAAAATTCAGAATGTACCCTGCTTTTGTTTCATATGCCCCCTTAGTTCTGCCTCCCTGGGAAAACTTAAAGCTGAGGGTGTACCACTTTCTACCTGCACAATAAAAGTGTTATAGTCCTGGGAACCCACAGATCAGATGAAGAAGAATGTGAATAATTCTCTCCCATCTTAATGCTTTGTGAATTGGGCTCCTGTCTTTGAAGTTTCGTGACTCACAATGTGGAGGTTTGTGTGCCTTCATTTTCAAGGTAAAAGTCTGGGGCACATTCCTTCCATAAGGAATTAAATGCAAACTCTTTCCTGTGTTAATGATAGAATATCCATGGTACTTTTACTGATAGTGTGCATTTTAACTTTTTTTTTTGTTGGCACATTTTTAATTAAAATAACACTTAATGGTTTGAAGCTAAAATCCTGATGTTTCTGCCTAGGAGTTTATAAGGGAATGATAACATATGGAGAAGTTTAACATTTAAATTGAATTTTATTATTTAAAACAGTAAAATATTTTATGACTACAACAATGCCCTGCCAAGCTCCATTTCAGCATCAAATGTGCTTTGTAAGGAGTCTTCCAAAGCTGGGGTGGGGGGTGGCAGGGAGACATTGTAATTTCTTCTCTCCAAATGCTTTTTGTAAAACGTTCCACAAACGTGTTTTCTTTGCAAATGATTCTTGTTGTCTTAGAACATCTCTGAGTATCTCTAACCACACAAAAAGCCTTAAAGCCAGGATGCCCAGGGGGAGGTTATTACTGACAAATACAATGGAGCCTGTTGGCTTAGTTTGGTTTTTTGGGGGGTCCTAAGGGTGGTCTTTCAATGTTCCTGCCCCCCTCTTCCCCACTCTTAAGAAGGCAGGAAGTTAGGGCTTAGCTCGCTTATAAGCTGGTGTGTTTAATTACTATGAAGAGGAAGTTTGGTAAGTACCCTTCCTTCCTGGGGTGTGTTGCACCCCCAGAAAGCAGCCACTGCTGATTGACAATAGAAATAAGCAGATCTCATTCTTGGGTGCCCTCGCCCCTTGTGGTACAGGGCTGAGGGCTGGGTTAAATTTCTAAGTATGCTATAGATTTCACCCTTGATAAGTTCCTTCAACCATTTTAACACACACATACACACACACACACACACACACACACACACACACACACACACTGATGCCCACAGCCCACTCAGACATGTTTCCTCCCTTCTTCAGAACCTTCTTCTCCCTCTTTGTCAATTCATAGCCCTGTTCCAAACCCACCCCCCACTCACATATGTTAGCCTTAGGATGTGGCTTCCAATTTTCACATCAACATAAAATACCTCCCTCTACTCCCATCATGCATCCTCATTCCCTCTGTCCTTTCTACTTTATCATACAGCCTTTACACACACACCACACACACACACACACACACACACACACACAATTGCAAAGTTATTCTCGTGTGACCACCAATGATTATTTTTAGGATCAAAATATATCTTAACAAGCTGTGGCATTATGCAGTAAACAGATGGTCCTTTGGGAGGACCCATACTGCTTTGGAAGAATGAATATTTTTAGCAGAACAATTTGAGCATCACTGGAGGAAAAACTCTAGACTATCTTACTCCTGTGGAGGAGGGGGAGGGCGCAGGAAGCTAGCTGCAGACCTCTGTCGGGGTGTGAGGCAGAATGGAGCCTTGGATGTTGGGACGCTGGTTCCATATCATGTTTGGCTAACCAGAATGCTTTTGTCTTCCCTTCCCTGTGTCTTGGTAGGAAAGCCAAGTAGTTTCTTTCCAGAGGACAGTTTTATAGACTCTGGCGAAATCGATGTGGGCAGACGGGCTTCCCAGAAGATTCCACCTGGAACATTCTGGAGATCTCAGGTGTTCATAGACCACCCTGTGCATCTGAAGTTCAATGTGTCTTTGGGGAAAGCAGCTCTGGTTGGCATCTATGGAAGAAAAGGTCTTCCCCCTTCCCATACTCAGGTAATTGCACCCCACACACCGACTGACCTCATGGGAGCCAGCTCAGATCCTAACCCAGGTCAGAAACCCATCTGGGTCCTGAAGCTGAAGGGGACTTCAGGTTATCTTATAAGCCACTCGTCCATTTGTCCCACTAACATCTGGCCTCCCAGAAAAGTGAAGTTAGCTCTCTGGAGCTTCTTTGGAGAATTCTAGGACACCTCTCAGCTGCCTTTCTGCTATCACACTGTCTCCTAAGTTACAGTAGGTAATGTGACCTAGAGAGCAAACCACACACTGAGCATGAATCCTCTGGCCATTGGCTATGCAAGCCTGGGTTCATGATTCATCATCTCTTTGAGAGTTTCCTCCTCTATAAAGTGGGGAGTAACAGCAACTGCCCAGTAGAATCCTTGTAACAAGGAACAGTCACAGAGCCTGTAGCATGGGACCTGGCTCAAAGTAAACAGTACTTTCCTCGCCTCGTGCATCCCCTCTCTTCTTCAGGATTGCACATTTGTTTGCATACATGTACCAGAAATAAAGACACTGGCCAAGTGGCTGGGAGTATAGTTCAGGGACAGAACATGTGCTTAGCATGCTGGACTCTGGATTCAGTCTCTGACATCAAAAGAGAGGAAGGGGGAGGAAAAGAAAGAAATAAGAAGAGGAGGTATCAAGAGTCAGAGAGAACAGAGGTCTGTGAAACCTACACACACACACACACACACACACACACACACACACACACACACACATACACACTAGCTTTGGAGTTAAAATAATCAAAACCATAAACATCCATCATGCATCCTAGGGCCATATGTGGTCTTTTTAGCTCCAGCATTTGGTTAAGTTTTAACACTATAGCCAAGGATCAGGTCACAGAGCTATAGATGAGCCTGATCCCTGATCTGTGGTGACCACAAAGCCATACAGTAGTCCTGAATGCCACAGCTTCAGTTTATGAGATAAATATCTTCCATCTACTAAAACCTAACTAGGTAGCTACTTGAGGTGCTTCCTAGTGAGGCAGCAGGGCCTCACCCCCACCTGATGTTCACACTGCATGATGGACTTTTCTGGAATACAAATCAATTCATTGAAATACAAATCAGTTGACATTTGTATTTGACACAGCATGTAATTACTGGTGGAATTTTGAGCTAAACTAACTTAGCTCATGACTAACCCAACTCCACTTAGTGTTCCAGTCCCATTGCAAACCCCTAAGATGACCATCCACACTTGTGTGAACCTCCAGTGATCGCCAAGTGGCTGGGTTTCTACCTGCCACCAAAGAAAACGGAGCTATCTTAATATATACATAGTCAAGTAGAGACTTGCATGTCCCCAAATGAAAACAAAACACAACAATGAATAATCATTAGTTGTGCCACATTCACAAAAGAATTAGAAGACTGTAGATCTGGGGAGGACTTGATCTATAAGCTCTCTTGGCTTCCCTTTCTGATTCTTTCTTCCCTTCTAGACTCCCTAGGAGCGTTCCTACGTGGAGCTTGGCAGGTGGGGGTGTCTGTTGCTAATTTTACTCTCTTTGTTCTTTAGTTTGACTTCGTGGAGCTACTGGATGGAAGAAGGCTCCTAACCCAGGAGGCAAGGAGCCTGGAGGGTCCCCAACGCCAGTCCCGGGGTGCTGTTCCCCCATCCAGCCATGAGACCGGTTTCATCCAGTATCTGGATTCGGGAATCTGGCACCTGGCCTTTTACAATGATGGGAAGGAGTCTGAAGTGGTTTCCTTTCTCACCACCACCATTGGTAAGCAGCCATACCCTCCATGGTGTCTTTGAACCAGAGGAAGGTCGTGGATTCAGGAGATGGTGCTGGCAGGGTATTGGAGTTGAATATGTCATGCCCAGGGCTATAGCTGCCAATAAGAGCATGGTGCGAAGTCATTCCAAGTGGACTTCCTGGATAAGGGCTCAAGTTGCTGGATAAGGGTGATGTGTGGACCACCAGATGCCTCTCAAGAGCTAGGAGGCAAAACTGACATTGAGATAGGAATCCTGGGTGGCAAGCCACACAGAGGACACATCTCCCCTCTTTGGCACTTGCCTCCGACCTGTCCTTAAAGCCTCACCTAGTTCAACTCACTGATTGGTCGTTTGGGTCTGCTTTGGTTTGGGTTTGGTTTTCCTTTTGAAATCAACAAATGCTGGCAGATGAGAAAGAAGAAAACAGTGTGAAGAGACAGTGGAAACTGCAAAGCTAGGGACTGGAAGAACAGTCTGTGGGTGCCTGGGGTTCGCTGATAAGAGAGATGTCCTGTTCTCTGACACAGTGTGAGCCTTGGTATGAGAAGTGAGTTTGAAGCATTGTCCCTGTGCCATGTAGAGAAAAAGGGCCTTGGCCACCTCCAAAGTCTACATGTGTGTAGGTAGCCTAGTTCCCTGTGTGTAGGTAGCCTGGTTCCCTGTTAAAAATATGTTCTTATCTTTGCCGGTATATCCCTTCTCATAGATTTTGTATCCTCCTTAGGTGGCTACCGTATGCAAATGGATAGTCTTAGTTTTCCAAGTCAGAATTTTTCTGACCTTCTGTTGGAAGCATTAGAATGCAGTCTAGACATAAAAATCCTTGAAGGAAAATAGAACTTCACCATAACATAGACCGGAAGTCTTGAACAGGACTGTTGCTTTGTGAATGCTTTAGGGTAGACCGGAAGTCCTGAACAGGACTGTTGCTTTGTGAATGCTTTAGGGTGCCCCTGAAAGCTCTTGGTCCTTGGCTGGGAGTCTCTCTGACAAGGGAAATGGAGTTGAAGGAAAATATCTCAATTTGGTACTAGGTTTCCAACATTCTTCCAAGACCCCGATTCTCCCTCTTAACAGCAATAGTTGTTTTCAGCCCATTTCCCTCTTATTTGCAGTTTTGCCTCAGTATTGAGGCAGAGTGAGCCGTTCTGTTAAATGGAGCATGACTGATGAGCTTCAACTATACACTCAGCCTTAACATTTTGCCTTGATGGCAAAGAAGGGGATGGGCACCCAACAACTGGTGTTGATGAAGGAAATGTCCCTCTGCGTTG